CATTCCCCAGGTTCCGTCGGCTTCCTGGAGCGGCACGGGGGCAGGGCAGGCAGGCAGGGAGCATGCCCTGTCCCCGGTACACGTCGGGCTGGAGCCACTCTAGGTAAACGCTGGGGGACGGTGGGGAGGCTGCAGAAAATAACCCTGCGGGCCACATGCGGCCCCCGGGCCGCATGTTTGAGACCCCTGGCCTAGAGCAAAACTTTTGTGGACTGAATGTTAGCTGAAAGAGGCTTGCGACTGTGCAAAAAGAAACTATTTCCTCTTGTTTGATTCCTGTATTCAGAGATGCATAACTTTGTACAGTCTTTGTAAATAAACAGGATTACATCAAAGAAATACTGACTCCAACATCAATTTTTCCTCCTAACAAACAACCTGCAGGTCCCCAAATTTGGCTGACCGCTCAAGTCTAAAAGGGCTAAACAGTAACTTGCATTTTTATATTATCGCCTCTTACATCTCTCTTAAGAGCCAATACTTTTTTATCCTGCTAATTTTGAGAAGAAAAGGGAGCAGAGGTCTTTGAAAGAAAGGTATTTTGACATTGCTAACATGTCAATTTCAGTTACCTGCAAATCTTCGGGCTTTTCTGAGCACTGAAACAAAGGTACAAAACCAGCTGAAGACTTGTCCAAATACAGGCAGTCTTAATATAATACAACTTGGTACCACTTTTATGGCGAAGAAAAAAATATTTATTAAACCCAAATCAGAAATCTGAATGCTAACAAGCCTTACAAGAACACTGTGGTTTCAAACTATGGTGACTATCTGTTTTTCTGAGTACTATATCTCAAAAATGCCTTCTCTCAATAACCTCAAATACTCTCATATTTCTTCTACCCAAAGTATAAAGCTAAAATACTTTTTATTTGGTATATTAGAAAAGGGGAGAGAACCATGCTTACAATGGTCAGGAATATTCAGTCTTAACTATGGAGTGGCTGCTTTTTCATAATAGTAGAGGAAAATGGAACTTACCAAATCCTGAAAGATATTTTTCTGAAACAAACAAAAAACAAGACCTGAAATGAATAATGCTGGAAAGAAAGACACTAGCACTGTGTCTCCTGCCATTTTTAATTAGTGAAATTACCTAACATCTGATTTACTTGATAAGTGGTTCAAAGATACATTCACCTTTTTGCAGTGGGCCATCAATATTATGCATCACTTAAATCAAAATAAGGTTTAAGTGGGCTTCAAGCAGTGCATGGGTCTGTGAGGTGACCCCACTCCACAGAATTCAATTTCACCTTCTAAGATTTCCAGTTGCCGAGATACAGTGCACACATTTAAAAAGTGCATTCAGGTTTTACAGGTATTACTGGTTCCAGTGATATTCCCTATGCTGAAAATGGGGGATACCACGGACACAGGTAATGGCCAGATTCATTGCAATACTTAACCTCTAGGTGCCCTGGTGCCTTGAGGAATTCTCAGCCCTGAGTTGAGTTTGAGGCAGGTTGCTCTGGTAGTTTGAAAGTTATAAAAGTTTATATCATATTCACTCCAGTGATGTCCTGGCTTACAAACAAAAAGGCTCTTCAATGAAAACTAAACTCACAGCCTATCTTTCCTTAGTAGTACAGCCAGGGAAAGAACGCTGTGTTAGCAAACGTGTAATAAGCAGTTTCTGAAAGCGCATTGAGCAGCAGCAGTCTAAATATACAGTCCGATTTAAAACTATTTGAAGTTTTTCAGCTTTTGACTTTACAATGATGTTTTTCATCAAGAACTCAAATTTTGACTAATACAGTGTAACATCTTGAAAAGAATTTGCAAACTGTGCTTATTTGATAGATTTAACCAACTCCAATCAGAATGTTTGATATCTCTAATTTTCCTGTGTAACGTTTCCTCTCTATCAGGGAAACATTCACTTTTGGTTTACTTAAAAACACCTCTTCTACCAGAGATACAAAGATAAACTTTTATTAGTTTTTCTTCATTTTAGAGATACACTGAGGTAAATGAAATTTACCTTTCTCTTTCTCCACTTGAAATCGTAGTTTTTCTAGAGGAAGAAGAGAATGAAATATGAGATTCATATTGTCATATTTTTGGTGATATTCCTACAGTTGTTTCATCTAATTATGCTAAAATTATTAAAGACAATGTGAGACAGAAAGATTGAAAATCTTTCTCCTATTAAAGACAGGATATTGAACTAGATGGGCACACATCTAATTCAATATGTCCATTCCTGTTTCCTATGTTCCTATGAAATAAGGACAGACTCAAGTTGATCTTTCTGTGGAAGCCCAATTGCAATTTATCAAAATTAAAAACATACTAAAATAGACTTTTTTTGATCTTTTCTCTACAATCATGACCATAAACACCACTTGTACAAAGTCTCATTTTAATAGCTGTTTGCAGCATTGATCTCACAAGATGGGTTGGTTCAATAAAAGATATTACCTCACCCACCATGTCATCACAGACATGGACCAACCCCACAAGTTTGGGGTTGTTTTTTACATAAGTAGGTTTTGTTATACTATTTACTGAAGCCTTCAATTTTCACTGTTCAGAGGATGAACTTTTAGTGAAAATTTGACAACCAATTGGCAATTAAATGGGTGATAGAGGGCCGCAGAGGGAGAGTGGTGGTCTTTGTCTCCTCGTTTGGTAATTGTGGTGTATTAGGACAGTGAAACCCCACAGCAGAGATTGATGAAGCTAGCCAGTGCTACTCTTGGCCTCCCTAGGAGTGTTTTCTGTTCTATGATCTTAGTCTGCAGATCAAACTATGGTAGGCTGTGTGGCCAAGTAAGTTTCTGGAGAATCAGAGGTGACCAGGAGCTGGGAATGGGCAACAGGGGATGGATCACACGGTGGTTACCTGTTCTGTTCATTCCCTCTGAGCCACCTGGCATTGGCCACTGTCGGAAGACAGGATACTGGGCTAAATGGACTTTGGTCTGACCCAGTCTGGCTGTTCTTATGACCGTGGAATTTGCTGCTTATCAGCTGGAGCAAGAAGCAGCCTATGATTAAAAAATCTCCCACGGCCAACTCCTTGCTGTAAGAACTATTTTTTTATTTCACTGCATTTATTAGCATTGATATAGTCAATAAATCTGTGGCCTATGTGCCATTCTTTCCAAACAGAGTGTGAGGACCCTCCTTACTGTATCCTTGGTAAAGTCTCTTCTATCTGATCGTTCAGATAAACCCCAGCTTGGAATTTGTCAGCTCCTGAGGATGCAGACTGAGTTTCTAGGGGGCTTTACTGAAGTGATTGCAACTGTAATGGCTACCACATCCCTCTGACCACACTTCCCAGCATTCTTGGAGTCAGGAGTGTAGACAATAGGGCCTGAAACCCATGTTGAGGCCTGTTGCACTCCATATGCGTTGCACTCCATATGCTTTATAAAAATATGCTTATGAGTGTGAATATGATGTAACTGGAATATGCTTTATGCAAAAGGTCTCTTGTTTGGTATCATAACAAAGGTTATAACCTACTGAATATATTCCTTCTATTTGTATGTATGTATCATTCTGGTATCTGAAGCTAGAAATATGATGTATACCTCTGAGATCCTATTGTAATTATGCAAAGTGTGGGCCATTAATGGTGGCTTAGAATCTTGATGGCTCCCATTGACTAGGACAATTGGTTGTGAATGGGTTTATTTACCTGCAAGCCTTTCTGTGTACATGTGGGCCAGCCCATGGGTAATGAAGAATGAGGTCTCACAGGACATGTGACCATGTCACATGATACTGAAATCCATCTTAAATCTGGTACTGTTCCATTTAAAGGAGGGGTGGGGAACCAGAGAGACAAAAGATTCCTGCCTTGTGCCAAAGCTATAAAAGGGGGTGGAACAGAAGAAAGAGGGCTGCCAGTCATGAGAAAACCCCTAGTTTCCACCTAAGATGTCTGCTGGAACTAACAAAGACTGTACCAGGGAAAGGATTGGGCCCAGACTAGGAAGGAGTCTAGTCTGTGAAAGAAGCTTATTGGAAGATCTCTGAGGGTGAGATTTTACCTGTAATCAGTTTCTTAATGTATTAGGCTTAGACTTGAGTGTTTTTGCTTTATTTTGCTTGGTGACTTACTTTGTTCTGTCTGTTATGAAACCACGTAAATCCTACTTTTTATACTTAATAAAATCACTTTTGTTCATTAATTAGCCCAGAGTGAGTGATTAATACCTGGGGGAATAAACAGCTGTGCATATCTCGCTATCAGTGTTCCAGAGGGTGGACAATTTATGAGTTTACCCTGTATAAACTTTATACAGAGTAAAACAGATTTATTTGGGGTTTGGATCCCATTGGGAACTGGGTGTCTGGGTGCTGGAGATAGGTGACCTGCTGAGCAGTTTTTGGTTAAAGCCTGCAGCTTTGGGGGCGTGGACCAGACCTGGATCTATGTTGCAGCAGGCTAGCATGTCTGGCTCAACAAGGCAGGGTTCTGGAGTCCCAAGCTTTGGCAGGGAAAACAGACGAGGGGCCTGGGTTGGAGCGGGGGCAGGAAGAGGCAGAGCGAGGGCGGGGCCTTGATGGAGGGAGGGGAGGAGGCGGGAAGAGATGTTGCAAGGGTGGAGCCTCGGCGGAGGGAGCAGAGCAGGGGCAGAAAGAGACGGAGTGAGGGCGGGGCCTCGGGGGAAGAGGCAGAGTGGAGGTGGGGCCTTGGGGCAGAATGGGGGTTTCGCACCCCTGGGGAAAAATTAAAGTCAGAGCCAATGCCTGTGTATATGTAAACTCTCAATATTAACGATAGCAAGCACCAGACAGAGAAAAAAGGGAAGAGGCTTAAGCCACACCTCATGGGAGGGACAACACATACATGATAATAAATGCTCTTTTCTTGACTTACCTTATTTCATGGACTATTTATATCAGCTAGCTCACTTGCTCCATACAACCCATAAACTTACCTTCAAAGTCTTTCAATTTAGAGTGCAGAGAATCTATTGGAAGGAAAAGATCAGATATGTTAGATGTCATCCTTTCACGTTTATGGTGACATTTCAACTGATATTTATTGTAATTTTGCTATAATTGTGATAGAAACCGAGGTAATTGAAAAACAAACAGAAACAGGTGTACAGGATGTGGAAGGTAATTTACAATTAATCAGAAACCAAAAAAAAAGTTAAAATAGTTTTGGGTTTTTTAAATCTCACTTTAAGTAGATGTAGGTTTGGATTGTTTTCCATACCAAGAAACAGCATTCAGCTTTGTTTCACTATGTACAATTCACTCTAGACAAAAGAAGCAGAATTATATCTTTTGCCTGTATCTTGCAGTTCTCATTACTATGCCAATAAAAGAAGACATTCTAATAGTATAAAAATGATTTTTGTACTATTGCCATTTCATAATGAAATTTTTAAGCTGAAATGATTTTTTCTAACGTCGTCTTCTGACACAGAGAATTGCATAACATTTCTTCATTGGATTGTATTTTAACTTGTCTTAATTGTATTGTATTTTGTAATGTACTGAATTTGTAGGAGTTCTCATTCACGTACAGCAGGGGTGGCCAAACTGTGGCTCACAAACCGCATGCGGCTCTTTTACAGTTAAAGTGTTGCTCGCGGAGCCCCCCCCCACTCCTTCTCTACCTCCCAGACTGGGAGGGGAACTCGGGGTTTCTGCCCTGTGGCAGGGTGGTGGGGCTAGGGGCTTCTGCAAAACAGAGAGGGGGGGCCTTGGGGCTTCTCCCCCATGGTAGATGTTGCCAGGGCTTCAGCCCCAAGCCCCAGCAAGCACCTTCTACAGGGCAGAAGCCCTGAACCCCACCACCCAGCCATAGGGCAGGAGCCCCGGCAGGTGCGCTCCACAGAGCTGAAGTCCCAAGCCTTGGTAGGCATGCCTAGCCACAGGCACCAGCTTCCTCCGGGCCCCAGGAGTGCTCAACCCCCCATTCCACCCCAGACCCCCCACCCAACCCCTTCTTCCAAACCCCCACCCCTGCCCCCACTCTGCCCGGCCCTGCTGCCCCCACCCCACATCTTCTTTCAAGCCCCCACCCTGCCCTGCATCTTCCTGCCCAGTTCCGCCCCCTCCCCTGAGCACACCCCATCCCTGCTCCTCCCCTCCCACCCACAGCGCCCCCTGTACACTGCAGAACAGCTGATCGCAGCAGTTGGGAGGCACGTGGGGGGGGGGGAGGAGTTGATCAGCAGGGCCGCTGGTGGATGGGAGGTGCTGGAGACGAGGGGGGGAGTTGGCTGCCGGTGGGTGCTAAGCACCCAATAATTTTTTTCTGTGGGTCCACAGAGTCGGATGTGCCCAGCCCTTGAACTTCTGAAGATTATCATATGTGGCTCAGAGGGTCAGTAAATTTGGCCACCCCGACATAGAGTGTCAAGATTACTCTTCCAGAGGGAAGATTTTAAGTATCTGAAGGCTCTGTTGCTCCTCCATACTTGATTTACAAAGGGACAGAGTTTCCAAATAACCCGTCTACAATTAGATCATTACACGGTGTAACGATTGTCCAGTCAACATGTGGCTGTCCATAGGAAGCACAAGAGAATGCCAAGGAAAGTTGAACATTGAATTGAAATCCTCTGTTAAACCTTCTATATACCACCCTCTCTCATTTTAAAAATATCTCTCTGATTATATCTGTAGTCAGGGCAGGGTGCGGGGGGGAGGGGGAGAGCAGGGGTGCAGGGCCCAGGACAACCCCCCCAGCACTCCGGCCCAGGCGGCGCCCCCACTCCACCCCTTACCCCAAGCCCCTCCCCTGCCTCTTCCCGCCCTTGCCCCACCCCTGCCTCACCTCTTCCTGCCCCTGCACTGCCCCTCCCTGCCCCTTTTCCACCCTTCTTCCAAGCCTCCACCCCACCTCTTTCTGGCTTTCACCCCCTCTCCCGAGTGACACCAGGAGCCGACTGGGTGGGGCAGAGAAGAGCAGGCTGGGGCCAGGTCGCTTGCTTCTGCTGGCCCCCCAAATCATGGGGCCTGGAGCGGTTTCCCCGGTCCACCCTATGGACAGGACTGCTCTGTCTGTACTGTTCCCTTTATTTCATGTATTACCTTTTTCCTTGTGTTGCTTCCATATATAGTAAATAGTCAAAGGAATGAAAAAACCCAAAACCAACAGGTTTAGTGACAGGCGAATCACCATCACGTGGGAGACCTTTGGGAAAAAAGAATCTGAAAAACAAAGGCATATTATTAATTTATTATGAATTATTATTATATATTATTAACCTTATTATTGTCTCTCTTTTTTCCAATACCAGCATCCCATTTCTAATCCCAGTGTCAACCCTCTGTTGAGTGGTAGCAAATATCTGGGCCTTGCACCTCAGTTTCCAGCAGAGGAAAACCAGTGACATGAAGTCAGAGTATATTCTCAGTGTTACCGACTTTATTTACACATGGAGACTAGTCCTGAAATGCATGTAGGTCAGTGGATTTCAATCTTTCGAATGGAGGTGAGGACCCCCTTTGGAAATCTTAGACACAGTGTGCCAAACCCCTGGGGTCCATGGACAACAGATTGAAAACCACTGATGTAGGACAAACAGGTTATCAAACCAGACTTCATAGCAATGGACGTATGAACTGACCTGCTATATAAACGCTTGATACCTCTTTTTCGTTCAAGATGTTGTTTCTGATTGTGCAGGTCAGATTCTGGTTGGAATTTTCTGTTACAATAAGTACAGATTCAGTCTGAAACAGGCCATTTTCATCACGGAAGTATTTTGCAGGCAATGATGGAAGAGGCTGTCCTTTGAGGTCCTTCCACAGTGACTGAGGCTCTGGATACCATCCACCCGATCGACACACCATTCGGATACCTCCGTCCTGGTAACCCTCAATAGAGATCAGGGGATTAGTACCTGAAACTGGAGAATGAAGTAAATCTGCATTAATTGTATATTCTGGGTTAAATATTTAACATATTTGGCAACAGAGCATTGAGGGCTAGACTGATCCTGTAGGCTCAGCCTTGAGTAAGGGATGACACATTTATCAATTCAAGGAGCAACCTCGAAAGGAATCTGAGAGCCACAATTACCCCTTTACTACTCTTTTGCTGTGGGGAGGGAAGTGAGAGGCTACAAAAAGAGAAACCCCAATGATAACAGGGGATTTCAACTATCCACACATTGATTGAGAACATGTCTCCTCAGGATGGCACGCAGAGATAAAATTTCTAGACATCACTGAGTGACGGCTTCTTGGAGAAGCCAATCCTGGAATACACAAGTGGAGAGATAATTCTTGATTTAATCCTAAGTGGCGCACAGGATCTGGTCCAAGAGGTGAATATAACTGAACTGTCGGTAATAGCAACCATAATGTAAATAAATTTAACATCCTTGTAGAGGGTAAAATACCAAAGAAGCCCACCACAGTAGCATTTACATTCAAAAAGGGGAACTACACAAAAATGAGGAGGCAAGTTAAACAAAAATTAAAAGGAACAGTCACAAGAGTGAAATGCCTGCAAGCTGCATGGAAACTTTCTAAAAATGCCATAATAGAGGCCAAACTATATGTAGACCCCAAATTAAAACACACACACACACACACACACACACACACACACACACAACAG